AAAAAGGTGGCAGACTGCCCTTAAACATGCTGCTCTTAAGCAGATAAACAGATGTTCAATCTTATTTAAAATAAGAAAAATGCAAATTAGCGGCAAATATACCGTTTCTTATCTAACAGATTGGGGAAAATCCAAAGTTTAGTCGCCATTCTCTTTTGGCAAAGCTGTTCAATTTTGCCAAATAATTGAACACCTATCAAGGACAACCTGGCACTATCCACTAAAACTGAAAATGCATTTCTCTTTGACTCTTTAACCTCTCTTCTAGAAATGCACACCCAGACACTCATGCACATATATGGAATAACAAATGTGTAAGGTTTCATTTCAACATTGTTTTGAAGAGCAAAAGATTATAAGCAATGCAACTCCCTGTCTATAAGGGACTAGTTAAATTAATTGTGATTCACTCAGTAAGGGAAAATATTTGTGTTTTCAATGAATCAAGAAAATAAAACGTAAATAATTTTACAACCAGCCTCCAAAGCACAGAAGACCATGTCAGAAGCCTCTCACAAGAAATTCTCTGACTTTCCTAAATCTGAGCATAAGGGGAACTTGGCTCCCACCCCTTTCAAACCCTTAGAAACAAAGCAAAACAGGCGGTGAGGCAATGTCAGATTTCATGTCAGCCCTTGGTCCAAATCCCACTGGGCCAGCTTATTAATTGAAACACCCAGGGTGTCAGTTCCTTGTCTGTATGCAAGAGTTGCTGTAAGGGCTAAGTGGCACAAAGGCTCAGCGCCCACACTGAGTGCTCAAAATCACAAGTTAGTATTACTGGTAGTAGAAGAAAAAAAGATTCCTGTCTCCAGTTCTGTGTTCATTGTAGTGGGAAAGTCATCTGGAAATACCAAGATAATAATCAAAGAAGTATCTACTCAAGAAAAGAAGGGCAGGTCTTTCCCTTCACAATCTGGCAATTGTAAAAGAAACTGCATCCACAGGCTCCTCAAGCTTCCCTGTGCTGCTGCCTCCTGTTAATACTAGTCGAGGCCTCTCCCCTAAGTATCCTACATCAATGGGGGTAGAAGGACCTGACCCTTCCTTGTAGGAGAAATCTGAGAACCAGGAGGAACTTGCCAGCACCCAGCCAAGAGTACTAACAGATTTGCTAATTAAGCATAGCTTTTCTGATAGCAGTTTTCCAGTGATTCGAAAAAGGAGTAAACCTAAAAGCAAGTCCTCAGAGCAATGAGCTAAGTTGTCTTTCATTCACTTCTAAAAGGCACTGGGATCCTCCTAGGTATCTACCCAAAAGACACAACACTGATTGAAAAAGATACCTGCACCCCCATGTTTATTGCTACTTTATTTACAATTGGAAAAACATGGAAGCAGCCCAAATGCCCAAAAGTAGATGACTGGATTAGAAAGATGTGGTACATATATACAATGGAATATTACTCAGCAACCAAAAGAAAGAAACACATGCCTTTTGCAGCAACTTGGATGGAGCTGGAAAAGATCATGCTTCATGAGATAAGCCAGAAAGAGAAAGAAAAATACTGGATGGTTTCGCTCATAGCAGGAGTATAATGGACCAGGCAAGAAAATAATAAGAATAATGAATAGCCATATACCAGAGACATTTTGTGGGGGTGGAGTGGGGAATGGGATCAAAAACAGGGGGAGGAGGGAAATGAACTGGACTATGGTGATGGAACACGGGTGATTTGGTGATGGGAAGCCCACGGGGATTACAATTGAGATGGGGAAAAAATGTACAAAATGATGTAAAAATAAACTGTTATAAAATAAAAATAAATAAAAAGCACTGGGATCAATGTGAATGTAGAGGGCTGTGTTGGTGGAGTAAGTAGTATCTCCACCTGTGTGACTTCGTCTTTATGGCTGTGCTCAGACTTTATCTTTAGAGTCCTGAGGAAAAAGTCCCAAACTACTGTATTCCAGTAAAAATACAGATTTCTAGAATGTGTCCTATCCCTCTCCAGCAATGCCTGGATAGGTCATGTTGGTTTCTATTTCCTCATCTGTGAAAAGGGCTACCAGCCATTTTCATCTTGCTGTTACAAAAATAAAGTCAGATAACTGTGTCTGTCTGGTGCATAGCAGGCACCACTTCCCACAAACCCAAATAAACCCTTGTCTTGATTAGATGTGAGACTTAATCAGACCCACAACAGCCTGCTGACCCTACTCTTTGAATTCTAAACATTTTCCCCTAGGCAACTCCAAAAAATAAAATACCTTCCAAGACATTCCAATAGATTAATAATTTTTAATTTCCTCAGCCCAAACCAAGAACCTCATTAAGAAAAATTATAAGGGTGATTCTTTTTCAAGTTCCCCCAAATACCTTTTCCACCCATATTTCCCACAGGGACTGGTTCTCACATGTCTACACTGATATGAGAAACTCTGGTTTGCAGCCATGATCACTGAGTTCCAGATTTTCCCACAGCCTAGCCCAGGATAGACTAAAGGTAAACACTCGCTAAATGGTTCTGAGCTCAGTCAAGTAAAATCGAGAAAGAATTTCAAAAAGATATATATTGAGCCATCTATTACATGCTAGACATATCTGAGACCCATTTGCCTCTCTTATTTAACTATCATAACAATCCTAGAGGTAACCACCATTGTCCCCGTGTTACAGGATGACAGGACAGTAACTCAGAGCATTAAAGTCCAATCTCAAATCCATAATTAAAAGGGGCAGGCAGCACTGCCTGGAACCCAAGTCTCCAAGTTGACTGTAAGCAAGTGCCTCTAACTTCTGATGCTCCTTTGCAAGTGTTTTCCTTTCGCACCCACCCACTGCACCCACACAGAAGCCCCTAATATTCAGCAAGTCATTTTATGACTGCAAAAGAGGGGCCACACTCTTATCTCTACCTCTGTTCATAAATAAAGAGAATCATGAACAACATACTAGTTAGACCGAGGGGAAAAAGTCCCCACAACTTCAGTAATTTTCCATCCTCTGGAATGAGGACATATACTTGGAAGTTTGACCAAAATATGCAAACACTGCTTCTAAATAATGCCAATGTCTTAAAATGACTTAAATGCTAAAATTGAAAGTTTTGTCACTTCTTTCCTTGTATCTTATATAGACCCACAAACTCGAATAGATAAATAAACCATAAATGCAGTCTCCAATGGTTTAGATTGAGATCTCACATCCATACAGATTTTCTCCACAACTTGCACCCAATTTAACTCCAGTCTTAGGCACGCTGACCTGAAATAGTTGCTGGCTGCGGCAAGCACCACGCGGTGGCAGGAGAATTCCTGAATATCCACACACAAGATGACATCTGTCAGAGCATTTTCCATTCGCAGGGTTTCCAGGCCATTCTGCAGAATTAAGGAGAGTCCTGTGTCTTCAAATTTTACCTTGTCTTCATTTAAGATTTCTACCAGATCTCCCCTTTTGGGGGCGGGGTCATCTGTAGACGGTGCCAAGGGTCCTTCCAAATTCTTCTCTACCACATCGCCCATGGTCCAGGAGCCCCTTTGTGCTGCCATCAACCTCCAGACTGAAGGAGAGCCCAAGTTTCAGGCAGGTCACATTGCAGAAGCTGAGCGGATTTCCTGTGGAGGGCCTCCACTTATCACCAGCTGTCACACACTCATAACAGGAAGTCTCGCACTTTCTCATCCTGTTACTACAAACGCGAGTAACGTCTATTCTTCTTTCTGTGAATCATCACAAGGTTGGGACTTACTTAAAAGGGGTGTCAGAAGGGGCTCCGTGAGAGAACGGGTGGCTTCTCGGAGTATGCTATTAATGCTGTAAGGTTATTTTGGTCATCTCCCCCCCACCACATCCGTGAGCAGGAAGCTTCTGGTTCTGGTTATTATATTTATACTCCTGATGTCCGTATAACCTAAGGCGTTGATGATGGGATAGGTGGGGCCGTTTCTCCCTCCTCCCAGGAGTCTGAACTCTCATGATAATCCCTACCCAGTCCCATAGGAATCTTGGAAAGCCTGCTTCCTCTGGTGCTCTTACTTCCATAAGCACTGCACATCTGTCTTGCCTTCATCCCTGCTCAGGGGGAAGCAGTGTGATGGCAAATATTAATGACCTCCTGCAAAATTTTTCTATTGTTTTAGAGAAAATCCCCCTAGGGGCAGAGAAGAAATGGTTTCCATTCCCAGGAGTCTGCTCTGTTAGAAAACCAGTCAAAGTAGGGCCACATCTGACTGCCCTAGCAAGTCTCAAATCAGCCCCATCTCACGCATCACATTTTGGTCCTGCCTCAGTGGTAAATCATGAAGTAATTTCATTATCTCTGAGGCTAAATACTATTCACCACATTTTACTTTTTTAGCATATTGTACAAATATTTACACTATATCCCGGGAAATTCACAAGAGCTAATGTATATTAATTTGTGTAACAATTGAAAGGGTAGATATGACTTTTCTCATTTACAGCTTTGCTCTAGTGAATGTCAGGGCCAGTTCTGTTTGACTTCAAAGACCCTGCCTCCTCCACTACCAGAGCTATCATCTCATGGGGATCCTGATTCCTGACACCCCCAGTCCACCTGAAGAGAGGCTTGGGTGCACCTGTCCTCAGTTCTTCACCAGTGGCCTCTGTTATTATCTTCTTGTTCTTATTCACCTCTATAAATGGGGAGCACTCCGACACCTCTTGCTTTCAGGAGTCCAATCCTTTCTCTGCCCTGGTCGGTGGTGACTGAGCTCTCCCCAAAATGCCCAGTTCTACCTTAGCTCTTCCTTCCATGGATACTTCCTCCTAAAATCACAGTCTTTGACATTCACCCCAGACTTGTTCTTTATTCAGTCTGTCAATGAAGACACTTTGGGCTTCAATAATAGAATATCCCTTCACATTATAAAAAGTTGGAGGTGTAGCGTCCCGGGTGAATCCAGAATCTCCATGATGCCATCAAAACACAGGATTTTTCTATTTTTCTGCTGTCACCTCAGCATGATGGCTACATCCCCATGGTCACATAAGAGCTGTCCCAATGTCAAACATCATGTCTTCACATAACCCTTGTCCATGATCAGGAAGGAAAAGGGCAGCCTTTCTCCTCATTGCTGTCTTTCTACTAGAAAGAAAATATTTCTTAAAATCCTCATCATCTGTCGCAGGTCACTTGGAACCTCCAAGCAAATGCCAGGAATATAAGCAGAGTACCAGTGTCCCAGGACAAAGATCTAAAAACTGTCACTGAGTCAGAACTTCTTTCATGGGTTCTGCATCTTTGCCATTCACCACCTCAGATGCAAAGGAAAGAGCCTCAGGTGCAGCAAAATAAAAATTATTCTGACAGATTAAAGGGAGAGCGAGATGGGCCTGTAAGCCACCAATGCTGAGAAGGGGAGCTGTGGCGACAGGAGCTAGCAAGACGGAGCAGAGCTTAATGTGACTGAGGTGGGTGTAGGAAGGGTGGAAAGGTCTGCTGCCCAGCCAGTCAGCAAAATAACTGCCTTCCACAGAAACCCCAACAACAACAAAAATAGTGAACCCATATGCCTCACTTCCTGTTAAAGTCTCCCAGAGTGGCTGGTTAGCTCCACCCCTTCCCAGCAGCCCTCTCCCTCAGAATATCAGGGATGTGGTTCAAACCTCAGCCTTGCGCTGGCATGGCCCCCTCCAGAGTGGGTGGGGCCATGCATCAGAGAACAAATTCGGGCCCTTGTCTGCACCGGGCCACTCCAACACAATGAGCAACAGCTTACGCCAAGCTTGACGCACCCACTGGGACTAGTGCCCCATCCCTAAAATCAAGGAGTAGTCATCTGATGGCTGAACAAAGTCAGGGCCTGTTATCACAGAAGAAGGGGAAGGACTGGTGCGCAGTTAACTCCCTGTGCCTGTCACAGGGCAGACACAGCCCTCTAAAACCATCTCCACGACTCTAACCACCACCTCTAGTAAGGCTGAGGACAATGTACAACCCAGTCTCTCTCATGGCATCTTGGCCCCCAGAACCTCTCAAATTAGAAATGACATTTGGCCAATAGAACAAAATTAAAAGTAAAACTCAATTCTTCAATTCTTCATTCTTGACAGATCCTGTTCACCAAGTTCACATATTATTTTTTCTATGTCTCCCAAGCCTGCTCACCTTCCCCTGACATAGCAGATAACTGTTCCTCCCTCCCTGAGCCTGTTATCTGCCTAGTAGGCAGGCACCACCAGTGTTGTGCTGTTGACATGAGAACACATATGATCAGATTTTAGTGCAGAGGTGAAAAACACAATCAGTTTGACATTTATCTCAACCTGGATATTCTCTGAGGCTCAATGGGAATTGGTAAATATCTTTTATAGCTAACAGCAAAATAATTCTGTTTTGAGCAAGCTTTATTTTTCCCACAAGGCAAGAAGATGTACCTGTGATTGTCATAAGTTATATACTGAGAAAACAGTCTAATTGAATCTTACAAGGCTACTTGGCCCTCAGTTGCTTGTAAAGAATATATTTTTGTCTCTATAAAAGTGGGTAGCTCAAAAGACACAAAAACACTGATTGAAAAAGATCCCTATACCCCCATGTTTATTGCTGCTTTATTTACAGTAGGAAAGACATGGAATCAACCCAAATGCCCAAACGTAGATGACTGGATTAAAAAGATGTGGTACATATACACAATGGAATATTACTCAGCAAACAAAAAAAAAATTAACTCATGCTTTTGTAGCAACATGGATGGAGCTGGAAGGGATCATGCTTAGTGAAATAAGCCAAAAAGAAAAGGAAAAATACCGGATGGTTTCACTCATGGCAGGAGCATAAAGGACCAGTGGGGAAAATAATAATAATAAACAACTATATGCCAGAGACATTTTATGGGGGTGGAGTGGGGAATGGGATCAAAAACAGTGGGGAGAGGGAAGTGCACTGGACTATGATGGCACAAGGGTGATTTGGTGATGGGAAGCCCATGGAGATTACAACTGAGATGGAAAGAGGCACAAAATGATGCAAAAATAAACTATTATATTTTTTTTTAAAAAGTGGGTGACTTTGGTCAAAATGCCCCTTTTAGCTCCAGTCAACTATCTTTTCTAACACAAATTATAGTGATAGAACAAATTTTAAGTCAGCTATAGAAGAGTCACTTTTCCCTCATGTTAATTTATTGCTAATAAAACTATCATTTATTGAGCATTAACTGTGTTGCAGGAACTGTGAGAGGTAGCTTATAAATTCGAATGCACTTAATCATCCTACAAATCCAGTGCAATTAAGTGCCATGGTCTCCATTTTAAAGAACTGAAATAGACAAAATAACACAATCATAGCCAACAATATCACTGTCATGCTCATAACCTCAGCCGATCCTGGAGGTCACCCACAGACAGTTCCCATCCATGACTATAGCCTGTCAACCTCAGAGTGTTCTACAACTACAAAAGCATGCCAGCTCCCCAAAATTAGAAGCCGTACGCCCAGAATGACCTTCAACTGAGAGCCAGGAGTTAGATAAAACCACTAATAAAATAAGATTTGCATCAAGGTCTAAATCCCAAGGGGAGGAGGGTCTACACTCTATACTTTCTCCTCTGAATACTAAATGCCTACTTATCCTTCAAGGACCCTCCTGCCTCCACGGAGCTTCCCCACACACCTACATTTATTTCAGGCCCTGTCTGTGTCCATGTTCACACTCCTGTGCCTGCACTAACGCACTCTGTTATCATTGCCTGGCTGTTCATCTGCATCCTCCTTAGCTGTGGGCTTCCGGAGGTTAGAGGTTATATCTAAGTCATCTTACGTTCTGGAGCCTGGCACGTACAGCTCTGTATGCTTCAGTCAAGAAGTGTGGGAGGGCTTGATGGATTTTATGGTTGAATGTAAAATAATCAAAAACTGTGAGAAGGTAAAGAACCTTTATTGATGGTGGCAGAAGGAAGAGTTCTGACTTGGTAGCCATTGACTTGCTTAGGAGATCAGTCTCTGAGTGGCTGGGGTAATGTGTAAGTTGGCTGAGAGGGTAAGAATTTATAAGGTGAGAAAAGAGAGAAGATAAAGCTTCTCCAAGAAAATGGGATGGCATGTGATCTCAGAGGTGTATAAGAACAAGAAGTATTTAGAAAACTACAAACTGCTAGGTACATCTGGAGCATAAAATATGAGCAGAGAGAGTGTGAAAAAATGGACAAAAGCAAGAGACCATGGAAAGGAAGGCATTTGGACAGAGGGCACATCAATATTCCCTGGGCCCCAGCTGGGCTTCTGGATTTTTTTAGGTCTAGAGTTGGGTCTGAGAATTTGTATTTCTAATCTGCTCGCAGACAAAGCTTAGGCTACTGATGCTGGGATCATTCTATGAAACCACTATCTTCAGATGTGCACCCAGTGGAAACACTGGAGAATTTTTTTTTTAAAGATTTATTTACTTATGCATACAAAAACTGAGGTACAGGCCAGAAGTGCGGCAGTAAGAGGATTCACCAGAGACAGAGTGGGGAGCAGAACAGGTGATCGAAATACACTGCTGAGGGAAGCAGTGGACGAGACAGGAGAGGTCTGCTGCGCCATGTAGGTCAGCAACCTGGCCTGGGATAGAACTCATGC